AAAACAGGCTCCTAGACAAAACTGATGATAATCTATGTGAGCAGGGTTCTCAGCCTTGAGAGGCACAACTCATTCATATGCAACACTGCAGAAGAGCCTTCCTTAGCAAACCAAAATGTTTACATTCYCTGCCTTTGGCAGCTATTCCTGTTATAGCAGTTTGTCTATCACACACAAGTGTGAAGTGGTAGGCAAGAAGGCTGAGACTGCTAATGGACTGATGCTCATTCCCTTCCTGACAGGATTTTTAGGGGACATGTCAAGCATACCGAGTGGACTTTTGTAGGTGAGCCAATCACGTTACTTGTGCTTAGGTTCAGGCTCCAAGCAAAGGAGGGAATGTGAAAAAGCAGAGTAGAGATGGATGCTGGTAATCCACAGCTGAGATGTGAAATGATGGCCATTTTTCAAAAGACAGCCATGATGGTTTGCTCACTTTTTAAAGCACATTACTGGCTTCATTGCATGTAGGAGGAGAAAAAATTATTGTCTCAGAAGATCAGAGTGGAAAAATAAAAGATTTAAAAAGGGAAGGACTATTTTTCACTGGTGGCATAATCATGAACGTAAAGGTGTGGCTGGGTAAGAGCGCTCCAATGCACACAATTCAACAAATATTGCAGTTAAAATTCCATCTGGCCATCTGTGTCTCCTACCTCTTTCCCCTCTTCTGGCTTTCAAACTGACTTTCTAGAATAAAATGTGAAGGGATTATAAAATTACTCTGCAATTATCTACTGAATGTACAAAGAGAATTTCACAAGTCTCTTCTCCCTATCAAAACAAAGAGAAATTTTTTTTCATAATATTAGCATAAAAAGTCTCCCAGAGCAGAGATGGGGATATTTTTTCACAGCTGCAAATATGAAGAGAACATACAACATTTGCACTTTGACCCAGTTTATAAGAAATACATGTTTTTATGTGTGTAGGACTGTTGTTTCAAATCTATGTTGTTGTCTTACAACCGTTCCATCTCTTCAGCATTCAAAACAAATTGGACTTCATAGAGTCCTGTGCAAGATTTTGCTAACAAAAAAAAAAAAAAAAGGCAAGGATGCAAATTGAAGCTGAGTCATTGCTGTCAGTGTTCCTGAGTCTGGAAAAGACTGGAGGATGACAGAACACATGACATTCATATATGGTGAAGGCTGCAGATATTCATTGCTAATAAATGTGCTGCTGCTGATTCGCTGTGTGAAGAGTTTGCTGCATTAGCTCAGCAACAGGTAAATGTCTATAACGCCATTTTTTGTTACATCACAACCCCTTTTTAAAGTCTTGGACTGAGTGCTTCTCGTTTTTTGGTAGCCTCACAAAGAAGCAGAAGATTGACAGTTTGCTGCTTTAATGTCAACTCTTCTGCTTCCATCCTGCAGAGGTCATTCATCCCTATCCTGCACTTTCACACCTTTCCAAATTACCAGTCTGTCATCTGTCCACATTTCATTAGCAGCAAAAACTACAATGCTGGGGAATTATCCATTCTTGACTAGACAARTGTCTAAGAAGAAGCCATTTGGCAAAAAGGCCATCTTTATGTCCTGGGCCTGTCAAGTACTCGTCATAATTCAACCYCTGTTCATCACAGGGGCTTTTTGATGCTGCAGTGCAAATAAATACACAACAAAATGACAGAGGTGCTACTGCAGAGGACAGGCATCTTGCGTGAAAAGAATACAGGTGTCCTCCCAAGAACATATTACTACCAATAGGAGTCTATGAGACAGCTTAACTGAAGGAAATAACTTTCATGGAAAGTATCTGGTGCTGCTCAAAGAAGAAAAATTAATGCAGCTTTAGTGCTCAAAGACAASAGGTTTATGGAAATTTCAAAACTGCAGTAGTTTTATTTCTAGATAAAGAAATGTTTAGCGAAAAAGCTAAAGAAAAACCAAAGCCTTGAGTGACGATGTTTAGAGTCTGCAAGACCCTCTTATTTAATTGTTTTAATTACCATTTAGAGCAAAACCCCCTAAAACCCATAATTAAGCTGTCAGTTATACCAATGATACATGTAKTATACAAAACAAGTTTATTCTATGTATAATATTTTAAGACAGTATTACCCTTCAACACTCACAAAGAAACATTTAAACAAAAAAGCAATAACATTTCTACTAACTTCCACAATTATTTCACTCCCCACCCTATCACTTAACATCTACATATTCTATATCACATATATTGGGACAGRAGGCTGTAAAGATTGCTGCCATCTCTGAGAGTCTGATCATGGTGTGGTTATTTGCTTCTCACTTTAATAAAATGCTTTCATTTCCTCTTCAGTGCTGCAATGAAGTTTTACTCAAAGATGAACCYGAGATCGTGGCTATTTCTTCTTGGTGCAATTGACCTCAAGTATGTAATTTAAGAATGTTTGTGTTTAGTGGCATAATCTTGTTAGTTCTGGTAATTAAACTAGTAACACTGAGAAATGGATTTCAATCATATGATTGAAAGGTAAGAATAACTTTCTTCCCCATTGCTGCACAGATGAAAGACATAATTTTTTCTGTTTTCATTTTTCAGCAGCAGTGTTACATGTCTTGCATTTCACTACATGCCTTTCACATCCTAAATATCTTGGGCTTAGTTCAGAGTTTTGAATATCATGCCAATTATGCAAATCTTGAGGCTTAAATGTAAGCTTGGTATCCTCTGAAGACAGTGTCTACTTATGAAGGCTTTCTTGCCAATCTGAAATGTTCCAAATAAACTGYTCCAAGCCTACTCATAATATTTTCTCTGGAATCAGGCATATTGTCCTTTTCAAGCTACCAGATGTTAATGTCCAGTCACACTGTGCCCTATAATAGACAAGAGGCACATAACAATTGCCTGTCAGAAAGATAAATAGAACTGGTTCAATGCCTGGTTATRAGTAATTAATTATAGATGGGATATCATCCATAAAGGAATAGGATGTTCTATCATTTCTCTTTTAATACACTTGCTGAAAGACAACCTGAGTCATTAACTGGTGTCCAGTAGTAGTAGGTATGTCAGATAGAAATGCCATCCAATTTTCCCTTCACAAAAAAATTCTCCAAAATATTTTCTGGGAGCCTTCTGAAACCATGTTATCCTAACTCCACAAGATTGCATTTGGAGACTGCCCAGTGAATTCACATGAATGTGCAGACCACAGACATGGCCAAAGCAGAGGGCACAATTTCATTTCCAAACCATTACCAAAAGCATTGGATTTAACTTTTATTTGAATAAACCTATCTCATTTTAGACATGTATGCAGGTAAGCAGATGAGATTACATTGTCAGTTGGATGAATATTACTTTCTGTCATTTGCATTTTCTTTGGAATCATAAAGAAGAAGCAGAAAAGATTTTTCTCCCCCATAATTTCCACAAGGTGTCTATGAAAGAATTTCATTCYATAAAGAAGCCAATTATATACATATCACATATATTGTAGCTTTGGAAGGAATAGTGCTGCTGCTTGTTAATTTCTAAAAGTCATTAAATTGCACATTATTTTAATTAAACAAAGTAATCGAACAGGCACTGCAGATGTGACTGGGATGCATTTGAAAATTTTATAGTTCTTCATTCTACGCACTCAGGCCAGAAATTACAAGAATCTGGTGAACAGCACAATCCAGATGACATACATGAATAAAGAAGCGTTTTATGAGCAGCCACTGCAGCAAACAGGCACAATGGATTCATAAGATTATAAAAGAATTTTTAATTTGAGGGTACAGTGGAATTTTAAAAAGTGAAACATGGATGAGCCATTTTTACTACGAAATTGTGAAAACCAGAAATMAAAATAAAGGTTTTGGTTTTAACCAAAGAAAAGAAGCAACACTAAAGCGTTTGGGGAGTTTTACAAACTCAATTGTGTTAATGTCTCCAATTTTCTTGAACATTGTCACACCTATTGAAGGCCACATAAATGACTAATTCACTCCTCAAATGGGGGACTGCTTTGAAATTAAATTGGTGAACATTTGCCACTATTTGGTAGCATTGTCTAAAAGCTGAATCACTATATATTTGACTATCCCATGTTCATCAGGTAAATGCGTTAAAAAAGGTAAAACTCCAYGCTTGCAGGCTACAAAGCAAGTGCTTCACTTCTGTTCTCCCTTGTGAGAAATGGATCTCTTCTAGTATTCTTGTAGACATATCTCCATGTTCCCCTCATTATCCTGTTCTCTCTGGCAGCCAAGGAAAAAACAGAATGAAGCAAAACAAGAGCACTGTGGTTTTTGTGCCTTCTGCTGATGAGCAAGTGAGCTGATCTTCCCTCTGTGACCCACTGCCGACACGGTGCACAGCCACGGTCACAGTTACGGTCACACACYATTACCTCTCCACTGAAGGGATAAAAGTTTAATGGAAGTTTCATCTTAAAGCTACTAGGTATACCTGACGGATAAAGGTTAAAAAAGCTGCTGAGAAAGACAGCATTCAAGGATTTCTTGAGCTTGAATCTCACTCTTTACACTGACCATTCAATTTTATTCCACGCTTCCTTAGGAAAATTACAAGAATGTAATTGTTAGAACTGAAGGGAAAAGAGAACTCCTCTTTCATTGCTGCCTTCAATATTCTGAGATCTAATTTCACGTGTATGTCAAAGCTCCAAGGCAGTCTCTTTATCAGCTTTTCCAGACTTGCTCTTCAATTCCCAATTTTGAGTACTCTAGAGAAGGAAGCCAACAAAAATCAAACTGCCTAGTCAATGTATCCTGTTAACARCCCACTTCCAAACTTCCTACTTGTGGAGTAGTAAATCTGTAAGATATTGCCTCTGGCTATTATGTRTTTTGTATTGTGCTAGCACTATTTATTGGATTCTCTTTCTACTGCTTTAAAAATGGTGTATATGTGGTGTAGAGCTATGAAGAAACAAACCCAAAACCTCAGAAGGGACTACTATGAATAAAATACTTCTTTTAGGGTAAAGAATTCATTGTGAATATGCTTTAAATGCAACCATAAACTCAAGTTAAGACAGGAGAAAAACATACCTGTGAAAAGCCGAGCACTTCTCCATTTTCATCAAGCACGTTAAAATTAATGATTGGACCTTGGACATCAGGATTGCTGAAATCTGTATCACTGTAAATACGTACCACAGGAGCCCCATTGGCATATTTTAAGTTAGACAGCACAGTATAGGTGTAGTGAGCTAATGTGAAGGTATGCTGTTTTATTTTCTCCATTCCACCTATAAAAGAAAAGTGCAGCTATATGTCAGGTGCATGATTTTTATGGCAATGTAAAAAAAGGATGATTTTTCAGAATGATGTAGCTGTGAGACAATTAGCACAAAATTGCTAGTTTTGTGTTTCTTTAAATACACATACAATTTTTGAATGTTTCTTTACTTATATAAAAGTTTCAGAAGTACTTTTGCACCAAAGATTTATTTATAGTTAATCTGTAGAAAGCTGTAGAAAGCTGAAGTTATACTGAAATGGATTACATGAATTACAAGATATATAGTTCCAGTCTATACATAAAACTAAGATGTTCTGGCATGAATAAATTGAAAAACAAGTTTTTCTCCAGATCTGGCTCTGCAAATCAAGGAAATAAAGCATGGTTTCTAACACAACACAGAAAGGGAACTCTCATGTCAAAGACAAAATAAAAATAATAAAATTCTAAATGTRATGAGAAAACAAAAATGCCATTCGGCAAGGAATTTATTTGAATAATGAAGAATTGTTCTTCCAAGACTGTACTTCTTTCTATAGAAGAAAAAGGACATTTTGAAAGGACATTCATTGACTCCACCCATGCAATCTAGGGGCTCAAGAGAAACTTTGCAGACAAATTTGCACAGAACCTGGCCTGGAAAAAGCATAAAGAAGAAATATAAGTTTCTTTAATTTTTATTTTTTTTTTATCTTGCTACACTGTGCAGCTTAGAAAAGGAAACTGTAGAGAATTCCTGACAGATRAAGGTCTCTTGTACATTTCTACTCTTTGAAGAGAGGTTGTCTCTTCGCTAGATGTCCCYATTGAAGTGGTATCTATTATGCACACTGGGCACTGCACCATGGTGGGTCTACATCGTGTGGAACAGATCAGAAGAGGTAAAGAATCACTTCCCAAAGAACTCTTCAAGCAGAAAAGCGTTTTTCTTTCCAGGTTTTAGATCTAGAGTGTTTCCTGTACTGCTTAGTATCCTATTTGAGGCACATGAGCATGTTTCACATTTTATTTTACCTTTTTTTTTTTTATTAATCTTTGTAACTACAAATCTCACACTTCAGTGCATGTCACTTTTATATCTGAAAAGTTCCACCCTTAAATAGAAATTCGTAATCTTGTTGACTTCTGTGCCTTTATTCATAACAAGACTGTTCCCTTTATGAATGTATATAAAGGAAAAAATTAAGATATATTTTTCCTGACATGCAGAAGAATTGTAGCAGCACAGCATCTGTTATTYCACTTTTCTTTGAGTTTCTCTATTATGTGCTATCTCCTTTAGATAAGCTGGGAGAGCAGACATTAAAAGCATAAAACCAGATTAGATATAAGGTRGAAGTACATCTTTTGGTGCTGAAGAATAATAAAGAGGAATGAGATATTTAATGAGATACTAGCATGCAAAGCACTTGCAAGGAACCATGCCAGAAGCTAATCAGTGCAATTTCTAGATGTTAGCCACAGCAAACTTGGCAAGCTTCTCTAGAACATTTTGATCTGAAAGATGATTTGTATTTTCAGAGTCTTTGAGAATAAAAGATTGCCTAGTCAGAAATATCCCAGTCATTGTTGGATAGAATTTCAGAGCCTTGAAATAGCAAAAAAGAAAACCAAAATCACACACACAAAATTTATTTCTGAGCATTTGCCAGAGAGTAGCTGTCTTAAGAGAAGTGACTGCCTTGTCAGCTTCTGAGATGTCTATAATCTCCTGATTCAGAGCTTTTCCAAATTGTCAGGAATCTTTTAATAGAAGATTAAACTACTGTCCTTGTGCCTGGTTGAAGAAATCTCTTATTCAGAAATTTCAGTCACTCATTCACAGTAATCATCCTGCTATCATTTCTATATTGTTTTCAGCTATTATCCTTTAAAGTTTTTTAATCACATTTCCTTGTTCATTAGCGAAAAGCTGATGAGCCTTCTAATTATTTACTCTGACAAATCCAAATTCAATAGCCTGCAGTTGCTTTCCTGCCCCATGATTGGAGAAAGGAAGCTGTGTTGCCAGGGCACCATATTTTTAAGTAGCAGAATAGGTGGTAATTAGGTCTGATGTCACAGAAAACCTTGTGGAAAAACTGCCAACAATCTGTAGTTTATTCTGACAGAAAAAGGGATATATTCAGAAAATAGCTGTGATTTATTTTTCTTTTGTTCAACAAAATTATCTATACTGCCTATTGCATAAATCCAGTGCTTACCTCATCTCTGTTCTAGGGAAAAGAATGTGAGGAAGAGCAAATATAAACCAGARCAAACCTTTGGTCTCTAACATGATCTAAGGACTTGCATTATTGCATCTAGTCTCATATTTAGGGTGACAACAATAAAATTATTTTCTTGACTGAGCCTAAGTTAAATGAGAAAGTAGTTTTCTATATTGTGGTTGACTTGGTGTTTATTAGTTTATTGCACTCCTGCATTTTATCTTTTCTCTATACAGAACTCAGGTTTTATGACCAGTTCCTTAGCTCTGAACACTTAGAGATTCTTCCCCTGGCTGCCTGTTTGACATATCATAAGCCTTTTGAAAGACAATTCAGAAMAATCATCAATACCTCACCTCCAGAAGGTGCTAGGAAGGATTCAAGTGCCCTGACTCCTTCTCAGTTTAGGAATTTTATTCCTTATCACTGCTTTACTTCATTAAGGTGAATCAAATCTAGTTGATCCTAAAAATTATTTTAAAATTAAGAAAAATCTATGCATTCTGTAATTTGGATCAGAATAAATCCAATGTCTAAATTACATCAGATTAAGTCTATCTAATATCATTCACTGTATTTATGTATGTAATGTGTATAGGAACACACTCAGCACAAAGAATACTCACATCTGCACCCATTAGTKACTTCTACCTATAGCAGAAATGTAAGGACTTCTCTGTTAAAAGGGAAACTTCTCCATTTCTGTGGATTAATATGTCCCTTAYTACCTTGTCCCCACATTCATTTTTTGACATTACATTAAGCCAGACATAATCACCTAATTAATTCTTCATATCAAAAGCACCAGAGTTTTCACACAAATTGTTTTCACAATGAATTCCATATGCTTTTGCAGTGGTAAARTTTTTGAGCAGAAGAGACTGACAAAGAAACCTTTGTACTTCTGTGCACAAACCTCCTTGCCAAAGTATTCTAACAAACGTTGTTATGCTGTTAGGTTGAGACGCTGTTACACCTCATATTGCTGAGGTATGTTTGCCCACTACAGCATCCTGATAGCTCAGCACCATCTCAGACCATCTCATCTTATACCTCAGCTTGGGTATTGTTATGAAATGACTACTGTTCCAGTATGGAAAATTCAGATTACCACTGCACTGGATAACCCCCAGATAAATTCATAATGTCAATTCTTCCACAGGAATTGTATGTGTACACATGCCTATCCACAGAGACTGTGGGGCAGTTAGATCATCCGGAAGAGAAGGGAAAGTTATGTCACATTACAAGAAGGTACAAATAATGAGAATTCAAACAATTCACAATTGTCATGAGGGTAGAGTAAACCCATTGCTTGTCTTGCCTGGTGATAACATCTTGTACTTGAATTACCTCTGTCTTGTTAGCTGCTTGTTCTCTGCAAAATAGAACAAACTTCTATTTTTCCAATGGAATTTTGTCTAATCAGAGAGCTCTGAGATATACAGATTTTCAATAAGTATTCAGAAAAGAAGAATTCTGAGTTAGCATAGACCTGGCTTTGCATTACATAATGACAAACATGTAATGGCATATAGTCTTCTCTCTGAAAGAACCAGGATTTCAGCAGCCCAAATGTTCAAATATTAGTTCTTCCTGAAATAACTGCAGACAAATAGGTGTAGGTCAACACCTATAAAAGATTTTGAATTAAGAGATTAAGATACAGCAGAGACTGAAAATGAGCCTCTAGAATGAAAGCYCTGGTGCTTAAGGTTTTCAGGCTGTACTCTGAAATCTCTGTGACCTGCATTCAAATACATTTTTCATCTCTCTTATTATGAGAAGCTAAATACTGGGGATAAGGAAGGAGAGCAASATAAAACAAATATACAATTATTGCTCTAACTCAGTGTGAAAAAGGCACAGAAATTGAGGTTTAAGCGACAAATTCTCTATCACTCCAGTAAATCCAATCTCACATATATCTATGGGTAGGAGAAAGATCAGTGTGATTCATTATTCATCAGCATCTGCTAACAGATAGCAATGAGGCAGGGCAATAATGAGCTGAAATCTCACCAAACCAATCAGCAGGGAGTGAAACCAAGACGTAGCCACCTTCTACTGAATCCCAAATGAGACAGATCACCAGGCAGGACCTGTGAGTCAATGTGCTAAGGAAGCCATGGAACCTGGATATCCTGTCACATTTGGAGTCCTTCCTTCACTTCCTYCAAGAAGCGTAGGATTAATTTCTGAGCTTTTTTGGTTGTTATTTTGTGCACAGAACTGGATGTCTCTGTCTGAGGTCTGTCACCTACTTAGTGTTATAGTCCCCACAAAAAATCTCTTGAGGATGAACTTGGTAACAGTAGATTCATACAGCTCCTTTGAAATTTGAGTGCTTCAGCTTTAAATCACATTAAACAATGTATTCCAACCACTGCTGTTCTTTAGAAATCCTGTTTTAAGCAGAATGCTGCAAACATGAAAATCAAGTAGTTGTAAGATGATTAAACTCCCTGCCCACAAAGTGCAACCCTGAAATGTTATAAATACAATACAAAAAAAGAAGAAAATATAATCAACTTGATCAGTCATCCTTTGGTAGAGCKTCTATATTTATCAATAAATATACTAAATATACCCACTCCTGGTGGTTTTCCCCCTAAATTATGAGAACAGCTGTCCTAAGTAAGACCAAATCTAGCTACTGCCTGTTTCCCAGAGGGAGGAATAACAGATTCCTAGAGGGAAAAATATATGAAAAAAACACCTAATTTCTAATCAGCTACTATGAAATAAACAAAATTGATATTAAAAAAAACCTCCCCAAACACAAAAACAAGTTTAC